TTTCGGGCGCTCTGCAGCTTCAGCGTGAACTAAGAGATTCGTGTTCATGGAGAGGGTGGTTCAGGTGATCAATCTGATCCGGCCTACACTTGCGATTCTTCCTTCGTTGTTCTGCAAGTATAGTCACCTCCAATTTGGGAGAGTAGGTTACAGTTTTTATTGAGTGAGTTGCCGTCCTGGGCCACTCCTACCCAAACCTGTCATTACTCCCAAATTTGGGCTCGGATCTTACTTTACAGATTCTTTTACTTGGTAATTAGTTTCTTTTGTTGATCATTTTAATTACTTTGGGGAACTTCCATACCACTGCAAGTGACCTTTTCTTTCCAATCTTGTCAAAAGGCCCTAGGGTTTGATCTCTCGGAACTCGGGATATTTGCTTAAGGGTCATTTTTAGGTTAACTTTGTAAAAGGCCTCTAAAGATAAAATTCAAGAGTTAAGACTTTGAGCAAAGTCAGGATCTTCGCATGTAGACCAAAACAATGGCCTAGATAAGGAGATAAATCTTGTCTTCTTCCTAAACTGGCTAATGGGCAACCATTACAAACATTTAAACTATTTCATTCAATATGACAGGTACGTGCCTGGGAGCCATGGACTGGGGCAGGCCAGCTCCTGGGGCTGCTCCACTGACCATTAGCCTGTCTGCGGTTGCCAGGTGCCTGCTGGTCCGTTCGCTGAGTTGCACACGACTGCCCTTCTTCCGGGCAGCTTGCAGCAAGGGCATGGAGCATTGATACACCTATATCATCTAATCTCCCTGTGTCCCATCTTAGCCTGGAGGCCGAGGGCTGCATGGAGCCGGTCTCAGCACTGCTGGCCCGCATCCAGATGGCTTTGGTGCGGGTGGCATGGGCAGCCAAGCAGCTGGAGCCAGCTGGAAGCGTACATGGCCTTCCCTCCTCTCGCCTGGCTCCTGGCCCCTGCCAGGGGAGCGGGCCAAGGTGGGGAAGCACCCAGAGGTAGAGCAGGGGCAGGAGCAGGCCCCTGGGCCCCGACCCGCACATGGCCTCCGCCGAGCACCTTGGCATCCTATCGATGCCACCGGGGGACTGTCCCAAAGAAGCCTGACCTTAGTTCTGCCCAGCCTAAAGCACAGTTTGGCCATGCCAGGCTGCCAACTAAGAGCCCCCAGGCTGCTATACTATAATGGCTTGAATAAGGAGCTGGCTTTTGGGCTGGGATTATGGCTAGAAATTCTGCTTGGGCCACCTATAAGAATACCTCTGTGCCACTGGGGGGCTGTACCGGATGCATCTGACCAGAGTCTTGTCCAGCCCAAAGTGCAGTTTCACCATGCCAGGCTGCCAACTGACAGCAGCTTTGCCACTGTGCTAAATATATGGACCTGAATAATGAACTGGCATTTGGGCTGGGATTATACCCAGAAATCTTTCTTGGCCCATTCCAGAACACATCTCTGTGCCACTAGAGGACACTCCTTGGCATTGCTGATGAAAGATTTGCCTAGCCCAAAGCACGGTTTGGCCATGCCAGGCTGCCAATTGACAGCACCCCAGCCACTGTGCTAAGTATATAGACCCAAATTAGGAACTGGATTTTGGGCTGGGATTATAGATTGAAATTCTTCTTAGGTCACCCCATGCCATGCCAGTGACACCAGTGGACTGATCTCGACATCTCTGACCATAGACTTGCCTGGCCCAAAGTGCAGTTTGGCCATGCCAGGCTGCCAACTGACAATAGCCCAGCCACAGTGCAAAGTATATGGATCTGAATAAAGAACTGGATTTTGGGATGGGATTATACCTAGATATCCTTCTTGGACCACCCCAGACCGCATCTCTGTGCAACCAGGGCTCTCTGCTGGACATCAATGACCAGAGACTTGCCTGGTCCAAAGCGCCGTTTGGCCATGCCAGGTTTACCACTGACAGTACCCCAGCCCCTGTGCTGAGTATATGAACTCCAAGAAGGAACTGGATTTTGGGCTGGGATTTTAGAGATAAATCCTTCTTGGGCCATCACAGAACACATCTCTTTGCCACTGGGGGACGCTGCCGAACACGTCTGATGAGAGACTTGCTTGGTCCAAAGCGCCACTTGGTCTTGTCAGGCTGCCAATTGACAGCACCCCAGCCACTGTGCTAAGTATATAGAACTGAATAAGGAACTGGAATTTGGGCATGCAGCTCCGATCCCGCACAAGCGGCCGGCAAAAGCAGAAGGGATCAGAGGAGCCCGGCACGTTTCCCCTAACTTAACGACGGGACAAAATTCTGGCACACTTTGAACACTAGGATCTATTGCACATCGTGCAAGGGCTGAAATGATCGTACAAATACGCGAATTACCGGCGGAGGAAAGGGGCGGCCGCGGCCCAGCTGCCCGAGAAGACGCGATGAGGGGCGCGGAAGTCTGGAGCTAGGGCGGGGGGAGGCCCTGTGCAGATAGGAGAGGGAGGGGGTGCGGCGCGGCGGCAGCTGGCTGCGGGGCAGTGCGGGAGCGGGCGCTGAGCGCGGTTGCGGGGGGCAGAGCGGCGTAAGGGGGGAGCGGAGGTCAGGCTGCAGGCAGGGGCTGGGCGTGCTCGCTGCGACCTTTGCCTTCAGCGGCGCGAGGTTTGCGGGAGGCGGAGAGCATTCCCATTCCTTTCGGAGCCAGACGATGCGATGCTATAGTTGGCGGGGGGGAGGAGGCTTGGCACCTTGCGTTCCCTATGGGACCGTGCCTGGGTCTGGCGGGGCCCTGCGATTCCTACTGTGGGGGTCGTCTTGTGTATCGCGAGGCAGCAGAGCAATTGTTTCCGTTTAAGCACAGCCAAGCCTCACCGAGCCTCTGACCAGTGCCGACCTGTAGGGGGTGCACGGAGGTGCACGCGCACCCCCTGAGCGTGCCAGCGACCCCACAGGCTC